TATTGCCATTGGCTATTTGAATATGTTGATCACTCTCATAGTTATGAATATCATGCAGTGCCTTTGTACTACCAGTCATATGGTTGGATGCTGCACAATCAACTAACCAAGGAGAGGTAAGTAGATCTTTCTTACCTTGAAAACCAAGAGCAGTAAAGGCAGAAACAATAATCCGTTGGACCATCTTAGGTGTAAGAGTAGTGGAAGAACCAGTTGGAGGTGTAGCGGATGCGTTAGGCTGAATATTAGTGTGAAAAGCCGTCCGTTGTTTAATTTGAGGCAACACTCGATAGTCTTTAATGAAATGCCCTTCCTTTTTGTAGTAATTGCAAAATTTCCTAGTGCAATTTTTTTGCAATATGCCCAAACTCTTTACAACTTTAGCACTGTACCTGTGTCTTGAATTTTCTTTTCCCTTGAGCAGCGTATGCTACATTAACCATCTCAGTAGTCGTTTCTGAAATTATCCCAAATTGCGTGGCAAGACGTTGTTCCTTATGTAGCAATTCTCCTAGGCATACATCCAAAGAGGGAACAGGAGTACGATTCAGTAAATTAGCCCGCACAATCTCAAATTCTGGTCTCAGCTTCATCAGAAATTGATTTCTCTGACTCTCGGCATGAACAGTTTGAAGTGCCACTAAAGCTTCTTTGGAGACTTTGAAATGAACTATCCCAGAGTATTCACTCCACAGATTAAGGAATCCAGCATGAAATTGATCAATAGAAAGATTACCCTGATTGTAGTTGGCAATTTCCAACTCCAATTGAAACTTTTGAGCACTGTTGTCTTGATAGTAAATACGCTTGAGATAATCTCACATTTCTTTGGCTGTAGTGAATGAGCGGAGATTATTGACCATATGTGGTTCAATAGAACTCAGTAGCCATGAAGCAATCTTAGCATCTTTGCTTTCCCAGGAATTAAGTTCTTTAGAATCAGTCGTTGCCTTAGAAGATCCATCCAAATGACCCCACAGTTCTTTTCCTTTCACAAACATCCGGAATTGAAATTTCCAACTCGAGTAATTTTTTCTATTAAAACGAATAATAGAATTTTTTCCTGACATAATGAAGCAAAAAATTAATTTACTACTCAAATCAAACAAAGTAGCAATGCAAATAAAATAGTCCAAGTCCAATAGAATAGCCCAACAAAGGATTAAAGTTCAAGAATTTAATAATAGCAGCCCAACAGATTAAAATCCAATATCCTAGTAATGTGGTCCAACAACAGAAAACCCAATCAAAAAAATTAAATTCTGTCCAAAACCCAACCAAATCAAGTCTTGTCTCAAATCAATAGAAGCCCAAACTTAAATTGTCGACTAATAGCCTTGGCGATTCGCACCAAACTAATCCAAGAATTGCCCATTTCTGTCAATGCCTGGAGCAAATGAGCTGAAGGCGGAGACGGCTCCGAAATTTCACGCTGACAACCGAAAATCGAACCGCGGAGAACTCCAAATACCAAGAGTGCACCAGAGACACCGACTGCACTTTTACTCACCCGAGATTGCCGACCGAACTCAGAACCAGAGAACGACGACCCAGAACCAGAGTATCAAACCAAGAGATAATTCTAAAAAAATCATGGAAGGCTCTGATACCATGTCAAATTGATTTCAATTGCCCCTCAATGGAGGATTTTCCTTTATAGAGAGCCGTGACTGGATACATGGCTGATTTGTCGGTAATTACATCAATTTGTGTCCCTCTAAATATAGTAAGAATACATTATTTCTATATACAAAATCCTAATTAAGCTAATTAGAATGTGTGATTTGGACAAGAATATTCCTGATAAACAAAACGCCCCCAGGCTCTTTCCTGCCATCTATCTAACATCTTTGTTCAGCTATGAAAATTTTGATATTAGGATTTAGTCTTCACCATTTTAGGCTTAATATATGTAGAATGTTCTTTAATGAATGTCATAACTGCAGATATATGGTGCTCGATCAACTCTCTAAGCTACAGCATGTACCAAGTGTTGCACTTCAAACAATGCCTCTAACTACAAGAGTACCCGAAGGGTTAAGTAGCTTCCATTAGCTCCCTGGTGTGTGTTTCTGGATATGTTTTACATTCGTTTCCTTTAACATATTCTAATCTCCCTAGAAATCTTTCAATTACCAGGGAGGAGAAGACATGGAAAGGAGAGAAAAATCTCGAATTTTGAATGGTGAAGAATATGCGTATGACGGTGATGAGGATGCCATACTAATTGAAGATTAGATATATTGTTGCCTTCTATTCGAAAGATTAAAGAGTGTCCTTGACTTGAAAGTCTTTGGGATTTCTTTGGAGATTTGCAATAATTTGCTAAGCTTAGAAGTTACCTTTTAAGTTCGTTCTTTTGGCAAACATGTTTGAACCCTTTTAGTTTTTATTTATTTTTTATTTTTAGATTTTTATTTCAAATACTCAGTAAAAAAGTAATTTTACTTTATTTTCTTTAAAAAAAAATTACCTAACATGCTCTATATTGAATTCAAGTATGTCAATTTGAATGAGCTGGTGATTATTATCCAACATGCTTAACTTAATTACTATGCAACTATATGGAGATTGTTTTGGAATTTCAATTGGATTATCCCTCCAAAATAAAAAATTGGTAATACTGACTTTCAGAAACTTAATTGTTATGACAACAATGCCTAAAGTTATTCAGAAAATAATTCTTTTTCTGTTTGTTAACTATACGGGAATATCTAACTGTGCTGTATCATCATATGTTAATTTCAAAGGACTTCATGGGCTGCATCTGAACACCAATACTACTAAGTCTCGTAATGATACAATTCTTAGTGTTTTTTTTTTTTTTTTTGGCAACTAGAAAAACCAACTAACTAATTAATGGCAAATTCTCTATAAGAGTCTCATACATAAAATAAATATGTTGAAATAGCCCATTCACATTATTTTTTGGAAATATATATACATTTGGGAAATTTTGAAAGTTTCACTCTCCAAACTTACCTTTTATAATAGATATTTATTTCCAAACGGTACTTATGGGGGTGGTTGTGTTTACGTGCTAGATATCTGTACACTTTGGATACAAGTTGTCGAACATGTAAACTTACCTTTTAGTACGTTTTATTTCTTTCTTCTAGTAAAAGGATATCTAATATAATCACAACAAAACATGTATTCAAATTTATTTAGATATATGTTGCACAAATTAAACACTTAAGATATACTTTCTAAATTCATCCTTTTTTTTTTTTTTTTTTTTTTTTTTTTTTTTTTTTATTCATCTTTTTTTTTTTTTTTTTTTTTTGGTATCATCGTTAGTGTCCGAGTTAGTTTACGTGTACCTCAACTAATCCCACGGGGTCCTACTCTGCAGGGACTCGAATTGGTGACTATTGAAGAACAAACCTAAGACCTAACCACTGAACTACCCTCAGGGTTTACTTTCTAAATTCATCTTACATTTATAGATGACATATTAGCCGCCAAATTTTTTCCTTCATGTGACAATAAGACACAATGGAGGACTCTTGTTGTTGGAGGCCGCATTTTAACCCTTTTTGCTATATTATTGGTGGTTTGTAATATACTACGTAATGTAGCTAGAGAAATTGGAGTTACAGTTTTGTAGCTTATTTCATTTAACATTTAAATCCCTTGACATCGGTTAGATGGTGAAGTTAAATAGTTTGTAAATTATAGGAGTGTTTGGATACAGATGCCAATGGATGCGTCTACAATCATTTCTATAGTCATGTTGGTCGGGCGCGTTCATAATCACTATGCGCACACTATAGAGGATTCCTAAATACGTGTGTCTATATTGAGATTTATAATTGCTATTTATTTCTTTGCATCGGCAAAAATTGTGCTGGCGGAAACATCAAGTATTTTCAACGTGCTTAAAAGTTACATTTTTATTAATGTTAGCAGGCAAAATGAGTTACTTAAAAGTAAGTTTGAATTACTTAAGCATAACCAAACATTCTTTAAATGCAATCCGGTTATTATGATAATTTCCGTTTCTCTAAGTTGAAGTATCATTATTTTTTGACTTAGGGATATTTCAAATGAAGTCTAAGGGGGTGTATTCAATTGAAACTTTTAATAACTTTTTGGGATTTAAAAAATTTAGGGGGCATTCAATTGAGACTTTTTGATACTCTCTAAAAGTCACAGTGTATTCAATTAAGATTTTTAAAAAGTTTCGAAAAGTTACGGTGTATTCAATTAAAATTTTTTAGAAGTTTTTATAAGTTTTAGGGTATTCAAATTTTAAAGAATTCTAGAGAGTTTTATAAAAGTCTCTGACGTTCTAACTTTTAAGCAGAAAGTACTCATATAATATTTTAAAATTTGTCTCTCATTAATCACGAGATTTTGGGAGACTTTTACAAAAAAATAAAAAATAAAAAAATTCAATCTTTCTTTCGTTTAATCTTCTATGGACATGTATAATTAAAATTTATTTTTTTCTATTTATTATATTCCATTTATTTTTCTTTCTCTCTCTTATTATTTATCACTATTTCTATGAAAAAATTAAATTGGATTCTTATAACTTTTTTTTTTCCCTTTTTCATTCATTTTTTGTGAAAAATACCTATTTTTTTTATTAAATTATGAAATTTTATAATTAAATTTAAATATATTAATTTTTATTTATTTTTAAAAGTATACTATACTAATAATATTGAATCCTATATATATGTATAATTTTGATTATTAATTATTTAATTATAGTCTTAAATTTTTATTTTTTCAATTTTTTTTATTATATGGGAAGAAGAATGAGAAGGAAAAGAGGAATTATAGGAACTAACATCTCGTATGTGAGAATCTAACACAAGATCTATGTGAATTCTATTTTAAATGAAAGTCTTAAAAAATCATTCGAATTCCACGAAAGTCTATAAAATTTTAAAATAAAAATTCATAAAAGTCTTCGAAAGACTTTTACTTATTCCATATAAATCTTTAAACGATCTACGACATCCACAAAATTCATCACTTGAAAAAAATTCATCAAAGTTTTCAAAAGTTACGCTCCCAAGTAATCGATATGATAGATAAAGCTAATGAATGACGAATTCCCCTTCATAAATTGGGGTCTCCGGTCAAGTGGCGATTTAACTTCTCTTATCAAATCCCACAAGACCAGGTACTTTGTACTCTCTTTGCTGATGTTTCTCCCTCCATTAATTTCCTGCGTGATTTCTGTCCTGGATAAAGTAGAGTATTCAATAAGTTTACATTTTACATGAGAGGAGTATTCATGCTTTCAGTGGGTAACAAGCTGTGAAAATTTTTATGTTTATCTCTGGTCAAGTTTCACATCATCTTTTGTTTAGTTTATCGATTTATTTAGGAGTATAATTTTTAATATATAAAGTTCTTGTTGGTTTTCCATATGGTTGTGTTCTGTAGGACTTGTGCGGTAATTTTGATTCTCGAGGCATCTGTTGAATGGTGCAGATTGTTCTAAAAAAAAGCTTTGCTACCCTGCGTAAAATAATGCCATAAAAACCCGTCTCTCTTGAAATGTTGTTTGAGTTTGTGCGTTAAAATTTGTTCTAATTACTTTTATTTGGAGATGAGTATGGTATGTGTGAATGCATGGATATGGGGCTGTCAATTTGTAATGTTGGCATCATTTTGAATGTTTCCCTTTTTGTGAGAAAAAATCTGAAGTTTCTGCATGTGTTTTCTTGGTGTTGGATCTCTGCTTCCTTCTTCTGGTTGATTTTTTTTCACATTGTTGTGATTCTGTTAGGACATTTTTGATCCTCTAGGTATATTTCTACTTGATTGTATATTGCATAGTTTTCTACCATTAAGCAGCTTCCCTGAAGCTAAATACAATAAATGACATGGGGCACAAATGCTGGATAATTATGTTTTTAAGGATGTCGCTAATAGCAAGTAAAAACTAAATTTATACTATATAAAGAAATAATTTTAGAGATTTTAATTAACTCGTCGTGTCCGTACTCTTTGAAAAATTGCATGTCGACGTATCCAACACATGTTGTATTGGACACACGTTTTAGCGTTTATGCATCATAGCTGTACAGTAACCATTCTGAGTTTGAATCGATGACTAGGTTTCCGTCACTTTAGAAAAGAAATTGAGAGGGCAACTATCATTGGTACAAGGACATTGATTCTGTAAGTCAGGTTTTTATTGCCTGGATTCACAGGTTGTCATAAAAAGCTTTAAATTGTAAATATCCTTTGTTTTATGGGATGTTTTGTATGCAATATTAAGACTATATAGTGAATAAATTTTAATTTTTCTTTTTTGTATTGTCCAATTCACCTTACTGAGCAATTCATTGTAGAATATAGAAGAAAATGAGGAATTTTCGTTTCACTTCTATTTCTCTCCATTTACTTCATTTTTCTTGGCATTTACTTTTATTTGGTTTTGTTTCAGGATGTGCATATCCATCTTAACCATATATTGCTTGCAACGTTGATCTCTGGCTCTTTTATTTGCAGCTTATTTTGACTTATGCAACATGAATCCCTACAGGTCAATATTTTGTTTGTCAATGATGGTGTTACAGGCATGGGGTACAGATTGGGATGGACTGAGGCAGCTTCGTGCATTCTAGTACCAAGACTAGGTGATTCCTGCACAAAGATTCATCTCCACCCTACTCACTCACCTTGCTCTCCTTCTACCAAACCCACAACCTTCGTTCTTGAAGGTCATGATGAAATCAAGATTCAACACTTCAAACTTTCGTCAAATTTATCTCCAGGTACAAAATTACATTCGAGTCTACTAGCTCTATAACCTATCCTTCATCCCCAATTTCCTTGCTAACACGTATTTTAGTAAATTCCTATCTTCCCTCCCATTCTTCCTCATGCCCGGAGAGAATCCTAGGGCGTGGACGGGTTAGACCATTGAACTTGTACAAGAAAGGCAAAGGCACCTGGAAACTATAATCCATGGCTGGGGTGACCATCTCAATATTTAGAGCATCTCCAAGATACTCTATTTTTAAAGCGTACATTCTATCATTTTGAGAGTATCTTTAAATTTAGAGAGTTAAAATTTTGAAATATTCCAACAAGTTCTTTATATTTAATATTTAATTTTAGTACTCCAAAAAAATATTTATTATTTTTCTCTAGATTATTTTATTATTTCCTATATTGAAAACTGAAATACTTTGAATGCATTTAATTATAGAAAGTGAATTTGGCTTGACTCTTTAAAATGGAGAGCATATTATGTTTAAAGAGTCTCTTGGAGATGCTCTTAGTCAAATAAGCATTTGAAGTGTTGGCCAGCTCAATTTGTTAACTTATTAAAGGATATACCTAAATAATATGAGATCTGATTTTTGTTTAACATCAATGAATATGATCATATCCATTTGGGGTTGGGGATGGAAATAGGTCCAGACTGCTTGCTTGCTTGGCTTGTATGCTTGTGAGAGCTTGGTCCATGGGCGGCTTGGCTCATTACATCACGAGCCCATGTTATTTTTTTTATTTAATTAATTAAATTTCTTTGTCTTTTATCCCGTATTTAATTTTTCTTTAAATTCTATTTAATAAAACGAAAAGCTCCCAGGATGGACCAACTTGGCTCATCACAAGAAAGGCCCATGGGCCAAGCCTTGCCCCTTGGTCAACGAGCAGAGCTTAGGTGGTCAACTCGACTTGGTCCGATCCATTGTAACCCTTATAATCCATAAACAGAAATTAGCTTAGAAAGCTAAAAAGACATAATGACTTTGTTCATAATTTTTAGTTGGGTTTTTGTTTTGGATTCAATATGTAACACCTTGGATTTAATTTCTATTTTGTATGAGGTCAAATTTTGTTAATTTAAGGAAATTTTTTTAACTACCATACTTTATGCTTACATTTTTTAGAATTATCAAAGTTTGAGAATCTTAATTCAGGTCATAATTCAAGATTTTTTTTTATACAAAAATAGATAATAATTGATTTACATAGGAATGTTACCTAAATTAGTGGTTATTAAAGGATAAATTGATTTTTCACTCTCATCATATTCATTCTCTAAAAACTTGTTCACAGTTATTATCCATTTTAACTTCTCTCAGAACAAGGAAAGTATATATTGGGGCTCATGAGTTCATACTTTTTTTTACATGTTTTCCGGTGAAAATCACCCTTCTACATGCCACAAGGTCACAACCACAATTTTGCATGTTACAACAAGGAGGCATTTGCAATTCATAAAGGTATGTTTGAATCGTTTTATAATTTATGACAACATTTATGTCACTCTATATATGTGTTGTTCCTTGTGAACAGTATAGGATTCATATTAAAAGTTAAATGCGATATTCGATATTTAAGATCATACAAGTCAATGTGACCAATGATTTGCACAATGAAATTATTGTATTTCTTGTATTGTTCACAAATATGTGTTAATTGTGCTCATACATGGCACGCAAAATTGTGATATTTGTATTATGTGATTGTATTTACGTGAAATGTGAAATCGTGACTTGATAACGTGTGAGGTAAAAGATGAAATGCAACAATTGTCTTTATGTGTGACCTCTCATAATGACAGTGAAGAAGGAATAGACTATGGTTTTCTCTTTCCAAATAATATTGATATGGTAAGAATCTCATTTTGTTTAATTTGAATTTTAAAAATTAAAAATCAAATATATATTACCACAATTAATGGGATTAAATATATTTAAAATATTTTTTAGAACAAAAATACCTGACTTGTTAATAAAAAGAGTTAATACATGATTTTCTACCATGGAAACTCGAACGCATGGTGTCCTCTAAAGGGAAATGCCATATTTTAAGATTACATTTTCAGAAATATCAAAGTTTGAGACTTTGGATAACCAAGTTATAATTAAAAATTTTTTGGTATGGGAATAAATAATAATTGATTTATATAAGATAAAAATATTCCACAATTAGTGGTTATCGTATGAAAATTGATTTTTATCTCATCATATTCCTCCCCTAAAAATTTGCTTACAGTTACTATCTTTCCCATTTAATGTCTCTGAGAAAAAGAAAAGAATAATGCTATTTGCTGTCGCTTACTAACCATCACATGTATGCTATATAAGGTGACTATGGTATTGAGCGATTGAAAATAACATTACTCAAAAGAAAATGATAAATTGTTGCTCCATGATTTCGTAATTTCCTTGCATATTTTTCGGCCACAACAACCATTCTACATGTCAATAGGCTACAACCAACATTCTGTTGCCACCATAGGTAGGCGTTTGGAATTTTTAAAGATATGTTTGTGCTATTTAATAATTTGTGAATATAGTTTTATAACTATAAATGTGTTGTATGGACGGTATAATATTCATGTTAAAAGTCATACGTGACCAACGATATATAAGCATGTGCATAAAGTTAATATGTGACCAGTGACTTAGTGATTTTACACAATGAAATTATTGTACTATTTATATTTTTCACAAAACTTTGTCAAATTGTAACTCAAGTGACCTGTGAAATTGTGACCTTTGTATTAATGTGACGTGCAAAATTGTGGCTTGATAATATGTGTAAAGTGAAAATGAAATATTTATGACATTTGTATTTTATGTGTGTTTTTGCGACCTCTCACAATGCGGTAAAGAAGAAAAAGAATTAGTGTTTCTATCTCCAAATTCAAATAATAATTACCAGTCCAAAAATTAAAATCATGTATATATTACCACAGTTAACAAGACTGGGGACAAAATAAAAACATATACTATAATTATATAAAATATTTTTTGAAAAAAAAGACATCTGATTTTCTAATTAAAAAAATAATACCTGATTTTTATAATGAAACTTAAAATCATGGTTTCCTCTAATTTTTTCATTCTATAATTTTGATGTTTTCCCAAAATTTGCAGTTTCCCTGCAATGGCTTATACCTATAGATTCAAGTATTTCTCAATTCAAGATATACTCTTTTATCCCCCGTTTGGCCCCTTTTAAAACTTTTCAATTTAATTTAAACTTTTTCTCTCATACTTTGAATCAAACAATCTTCAATAAAATAATATTACATTCAAATCGAAAACTTTTCAACCACACAATCTTCAAAAAAATATTATTCCCCCCATTATAAATTCAAATAATGGGGGCCAAACAAACTCTTAGTAATTACGATTATTTCTATTTAACTGAGATTTTCCCTTCTTTTTGTGGATTTTTGGCTGGGATTGTTTATTAATTGATGAAAAGTGAAGGATTAAGCATGAGACCAGTGGCTGACCCGTGGTAATTCAAATGAAATCTAGTTTAAGAATAAATGTGATGCATGTGGATTTCGATGATGAGGTCACTGCCTCACCGGTCTACACACAAGCAAGCTCGAAAAATCATAAATTTATATTTTTGCTAAAATTATATCCACAATCATATTACGCAACAAAGAATTTTAGGTTCGTGTTGTAAAGTTTGTTACAGGTGCTAAAAATTTTTGTGCAAATAGGCTGTTTGATCGTTTAATGGGGTGATAAAAAATTTCCCTGTTGACTCGGATTTTCCAGCTAGACGAACATTAGAAGTTATTTGAATTTTGAATTGTTACTATGGACGTTGGTACTCTATTTGGAAGTGCTCATTAGAAGTTAATGTGACATTTGTATCCTTTAATCTTATTATGCTCATTAATTCTAAGGCAAATATCTAGAGTAACTTGAATGTTAGTTGATTTTAATTATCCCGAATGATCCATTATTCATGAAGTGAATTGATGTGACGCAGGATGCAATACGAGAATTATAGGAGAAGGGGGAAGGGGAGAGAAGAGAAGGGAGGGGAAAAGAGAGAAGAAAAGGGAGAGAGGAAGGTAGAAGTTGGGGGAGAAATAAGTTTATTTCATATATCAAAACTTGTCTGATTACAAAGCATAAGACCCTTTTATATAAGAATTCGTACCAAATTGATGCAGGATGCAGTATGAGAATTATAGGAGAAGGGAAAAGGGGGGAGGAAGAGAACGGAGGGGGCAAAGAGAGGAAGATAGAAACTGGGGGAGAAATCAGTTTATTTCATAAATCAAAGCTTGTCTTATTACAAAGCATAAGACCCCTTTATATAGGGATTCAATGGGGAACATATAATAAAAGCAACTAAATTAAACCTAATTATGTTTCCTAAAATACTAATTAAAACTGGAAACTAAACACAATAATATCCCTTATTATATTGCATCATGATGTTTCATGTCAAGATGATTAGGACTGCCTATAAGTTTCTAGCGGAAAATATGACTTGGTGATCATCAGCGACGTTCGGATCCATTTTCTAGTTAAATATGAGGCAGTATTTCACAACGATGCTCTGCATTCTGTCATGTTTCTTAGAAGCAAGCCCAGAAGAACACCTGAGCAAAAAGTGCAGCAAGGCAAGCTTTGGCTGTTTTGTAAAGTGTTGATATCTCAAAGCATTAAAATTTGCACAAAGTTTGAGACCTTTTTCATCTGAGCCATTGCTTTCTTAGTTTGTTACTTGGAATTGGACTAGTTGCTTAAAATGTATATAATCATAATA